CACAGCGGGCCAAGAAATCATAACGGACAATATTAAGAATCTCCCTACTCAAGTTACATAGGAGGCACAACATAGGCCACCTTGAAGAGAGACGACAGGGGTTATTGACACGAATCGTATGGTTTCTGTATTTTAATTTTTAACAAAGTTTTAAAACTTTAAACAACTTTAAATGTTTCTATAACCGGAAAGGCTGCTGTGACTGATAGATGGAGCATTGTGTACTTGGACATTACATGTGTATTTGATATGACAACTGTTGTGATAGTGGTTTCTAAAAAGTGTTTGGTGCCTCTGAAGATGATCCAAATGGGTCGAAACGTGTAAGGCTAGTGAATCATCAAGTGAGAAAACTGAAATAGTCACATTGGACGGACTTGTCTTTTGTAATTGAAACAGGTATTGTAATGAAATTCTTAATAATGGATACTAATATGGATCCACATTAGAAATACGATTCAATAACGAATAGTACATTTTGTTATAAATTTTCTTGATGATGATCCTGTATATTAAGCTACATGACAGCTAGGCGTGTAGACTCTATGGCGCTGATTACATAGAACAGAGCGTTCTTGAGTATTTGTGTTACATTTCGAAATATATTTTTCCTTGTATTCAATAGCAAACTTAGGCATGCTTAATTCTTTGAGTAACATCAATTTTCACTGCACTTCGGTTCATCATTTAATGCATAACTTATTCGTTTATGAAGAGACTGACGCGTGTTTCACATAATAAATATATTTTATGTTTTACCTTCAGTTGAATGTGAAAGTATTTGTTACTTAAACAAATATTGCACGGTACAATCAGTTTCATATCTCCAGTTACACTCGGTAACACAAACGCAATTTTTCCATATCTTTGTGCCCTTTACACCGTAACCGTTATTAAGTAAGATATATGCATCACTGGAATGGAAATCTTTGTTCGTCGTTTTAATTGTCTTCATGTACCCATTGCTTGCTGTAGGTAAGTTGCATCGTACCCTTTGACCGAAGTCAATGGCAACATTTTTAACATATTCCAGATAATTCCTTGTAAAATGTGGGCTTCAGCAGTGACATCAAATTAAAATTTCTAAGCAGTTCTTATAATGCGATTCCACGATGTCCGATTAGGAATCTGTAAGATTTTATTTTTCAGGTCCATAAAATGTAGATTCCTCTTCAACCCTGGCTGTTGGAGCTATTCACACAACTTGCATGTGATAGGGGCTACTTGCAAATGAAACACTCAATTACATAAATGTGTATTTATTCTACGAGAACTGACTGATAATGTTTTATAACCTGTATTATTTTTACTGGACAAACGTATGAAAAGATACGGTTTGGCCGTTAATCAGTTTTATGCAACATTGACCATCGACGTCACAAAAATCTTGTGAAAATCGGTTGGTCCTGATGTAACAGAAAGAAATTGGTTCAGATGTTGTTCGGCTACTCTGTGCTTTGACTCACATATAGCCTTGCTTCCGAACTTTTCTCCACAAACATTTTCATTACCACGTTATTTGAATAGCTAACTACATATAAAGTAAGAAAAACCATCGTGAATAAATTGCATTATTCCATTATGACCGTGCCATATATCAGGCTGTTAGTTGCCAGTTTCCTATTGCAGCGGCCCGGGTTGTTTCCTAGGTCCGTTCATGTTGGGTTTGTGGTGGACTGAGCACTTCGGGTTCCCCTGCCTAATTTCATTCTACCATTTCGTAACCTAAATGTAAAAGGGACCTATTTGACGTCTTATAACGAAATTGTAAAGCGTTCGTGTGATATTATGCAAATCAGCGATGATCGATGAAAGGGGGGTTAGAGACGAAGACTACGGGAAAAGTGTTAAAGATAAGCAGCGACACACACACGGGGAGCCTGCACAGAACAATACATGGACGGTGCTGAAAACAAGAAATAGCCGCTGCATCACATGTAGACAAGAGCAGATGTCCCTGGCATTTAAAACTTTAAATTTTAGAAATTTTAAACTGGAATTCTAAAATCAAATTGACGAGCGTGTGTTAGCGAGATTTTAAACAAAACCGACAGGCTGATGTTTCAGATTTTGGACTATGTGCAGTGTGACAGCTACGTAGTGAAAAATACATCTGATGATGGCCAATTATGGTCGAAACATGTAGTTTAGAGGAAGAAAAGACAAAGATCTACAACCAAATAAATTGTTGCATTCACGACGGCATTTATATTATTACATATAGAAATGTATAGTGCAACAGGATGCTTAAATATAATATACGGGAAATCAACTGAACACCAAACATAAATTATTTAAGTATAAAGCTGCTTCTAGAATAATCAGCCATAGAGTATTATTGCTGTGACAACAGCGTGTCATCGTTAATAAAACCAAGTCACTGCTGGAGTCCATGCCATGAATGAATTGCTATAATCATTTACTCGTGGCTGAAATGTTATTGCCGAGTTACAAGCTACTTCCTGAGTCGACGTTTGTCTCTTAAGACCTGGTCTTTCAAAATGGCATTTTGTTGAAGTAGGTTGTTTTTCTGTTGTAGATCTAGTATCCCGTAGTTACATTTTCCCAGTCCTTAGATTGAAGTACACTAGTTAAATTTGTAAACATGAATGACAGTTGTCACGCAAACATAAAAATGTCGTACATTCCAGCAAATGAAAAGAAAATACTAGTTCCCTTTGTATCATCTTGTTTCATTTGTAATGTTTGCTTAGTTGCTGCTACAACATATTTCCTTGTAAGTAGTTTGGTATTATAGTGATATACAACGTTCTTATAGAAAGCATCATTGCAGGTTTGTCTGAATAATTCACCTGTGTTTATACAAAATAATAGGGACTTTCATATATCCAAGAGAAGCATGCTATATAGTAGGTTAATGTGTAGATATTATATGATGTATGTAGTTTATACATATGACAGTGGATGGTATTTGAACTGAAGACTAAAAGGAAACATTGGATCATGCTCATGTGCTTCCGCACTTATGAGCCAACAAAGTTTTGTTGTAAAGGCCCATGGAATGCGACAATAATAAGAGTACTATCTTATATCATTGTATTTGACAGTAATCAAGTGTGCACATTCTTCACGGAAAATTTCAGCAGTATATTTCGAGTTTTAAAGAATCACATACACACTATTCCAAAAACTAAAATTTATTGAATATATTATAAATTATTATAACTTCAAAAATGTACTTATACATTACCAATAGACCTATATGATCAAGTTTCCCACATGCAGTAATATCATCAAAAGCACGTCTCATACACAGATTAATTGTACCCTCTGTTCACGCTCATGAAACAGAAACATATTCAGAGTTTTGTAAAAAGTCGAAATCTTGGGTACGTCTTTGCTCAAACGGTATATCAATAACGAACATCGTTGTAAAGATACATAATTCTTCACTGAAAAAGACAAGTCTGTTTTACTCATACATAAAAATTGCCCACTTAAATTATATATTGTATACCGTTAATATAATAGTTAACAGGTGTTTCGCAAAGCAAGCGGATTCTAGGTATTTCTTTGAGAGACACAACTTCTAGCTCGATCGCACCATAAGCAAAAGGAGCAAAAACAAATAGTACAACTAGTCTCTAATGGTCGTGGTCTCTCAGAAAATTATTCCTGAAAATTAAGCCAGTCACTTTTAACAGAAATGTATTATGTTTCCCTTTTCTATTGAGAATATTTTCTGTACTTTATCGTAATCATAGACCGCGCCATAGCTCAAGCGGTTAGTCGCTGGCTTCCCACCGCTGCGGCCCCGGTTCCATCCTGGGTCTGGTCAAGTGGGATTTGTGGTGGACAAAGTGGCGCTGGGGCAGGTTTTCTCCGAGTACTTCGGTTTCCCCTGCCAATCTTCATTCCACCAATTGCTCCACAATTACCCTCACCTATCATCTGGGGCTGGTACAATAGGCCACAAGTGGCCGCATTACAAGGGACTTAGTCCCAGCCCACTAGCTATAAAAAATACTGTTCATTTGTTTTATCTATATATATTTCCGTNGCGGAAGGACATGAGCAAGTTTCTGAAAGGGGAACGTGTCTTCTGGACGCCTCTAACTGCTGCGTTCCCCTGTACAGACGCCTGGCGGACGACGACGACGAGCTATCGGAGGTTCAACCCGACGCTGTGCCACCGGAAGTGCGAGAATGGCTCGCCTCCACCTTTACCCGGCAACTGGCTACGACTCGGCGGAAGTCGGACGAAAAGCCCAAGTTCCGGTCCGTTGCGCACGCCATCAGAGCCGGAATCTTCGTGGATCGGATCTATCGAAGGGTGTCCAACACGGCTCTCATGCAGTTCCCACCAGATGTCGTCAGGGTCCTCAAAGTAAGCAGTGACATATCAACAGACCCTACTGGCCTTTTGTGCATTCCTGACTCCGAGGTAGAAAATATGCCTCCATGCTGGGAAGGAAGTTCGCTGTTCGAGACCTCTCTGCATTTAGTAAGCAATGTTTATCTCACTGGTTGCGGGAAATAGATTTCCTTCACTTTGGAGAGAAGGTGTAATTGGTAGAAACTTTATGTTTGTGTGCTTCTATTAAGTCCAGAATCCTTTATTCTCTGCAGTTATGCATGCCATTGACGAGATTAATGGGCGTTCGGAATGGTCAGTATCTTTATTGACAAGGGATTTCATTTTCCACTGAAACCCGGGACTATATATTATCATAATTATAACCAAAAGTGTGGGAATTGTAACCCACTGTTAATTACATTATTAAATAATTATCTTATTGATCTTATGTTGGTGGTGGAATAATTTAGTGGCTCAGAGCTTTAGGACTAAAACATACTGAGTAAGCTGGCTTAGGCGGTGACGCTTCTGTCTGGTATTCAGTTCGACTCTCAGTCGGGATACAGTCCTGAAATAGGGGTTTTGTTGTTGTTTTTTGTTACTTCCTTTAGCAAATTTCGGGATAGTATTTTAAAATAGGTCACGACCATTTCCTTCCAACCCTGTTATCGAGTCATTCTACGCTGTAGGCCTGTAGTCTGATTTATTGGTGTCACAGTTAAATAAACTACAAATTAATGGATCTGAAATAATTTAAAATAAGTACGTGAAATATGATTGGTTCATAGATGTGAATACCAAATAACACTGGCCCAAAAATGCAAGCCAGGATAGCCCAGTCAGTATAGCGACGGGCTATGGGCTGGACGGCCTATGAATTTCGGTTTGATTCCAGGCAGAGGCAAGAGATTTTTCTCGTCTCCACGGCGCCCGGAGCGGCTCTGTGACCCACCCAGCCTCCTATCCAAAGGGTATCAGNGAGGAATTTGGGTTTGATTCCAGACAGAGGCAAGAGATTTTTCTCGTCTCCACGGCGTCCAGACCCACCCAGCCTCCTATCCAAAGAGTATCGGGGCTCTTTCCCCGGGGGTAAAGCGGTAGGGACGTGAAGCTGACCACCCCTCTCGAACTAGTGCCGAGGTCAAGAAAATATGGATCATCGTATGGATCATGACGATATGTTCCTTTATCGCAAGAAGGAAGTCCTGGAAGATCCATAAACCAGTCACAAAAATTTGCCAGTCGAAATTTCCTTATCTGTTAAAACTAACTGCATATTTTTCAAAATTTCCGAGAATGTTCCGTGGTTTTTAGAATAGCGTAGTTGCTGTTATAGAATGAGTAATAAAAATTGAAACTGAACTCAGGTTTATAAATCCATAAAGTTTCAAAAGTTCTAAGTATTTTCGGAAATATGATGAAAACTGTTGTCAGTGTTCAAAAGGATGAAAGTTTGCGGAAGTAGGAACGTCTTGAAAGTAGCAAAGTTTAGGAAGTTATGGAACATTTCAAATTTGCATGTATTTTGTGAACAATGAAAGATAGTAATGAAAACAGAAATTTAACAGAACTACGAACATTTCAAAGAAAACGAAAACTGGGGATGTTTCAAAACGTCACATTGCAGTAACTTGATAAGGACAAAATTTTTGGAAAGATAATGATTTAGCTACATCAACAATTTCTAGAAATTAAATTGTTTTACATTTTGGAAGCTGCATGAAGTATGGAAAATTTCAAAATATTCCTAATATGTGACGTTTTTGGTATGCCAGTAATTTAGTAGACTACACGTTCTAGATAATCATACATTTTTAAATTATTAAAATTGAAAGGTGTTTTATGAATTATAATTTAATTACATCCATATGTTAATGTATTAAATAACTCTTGAAGTCTTTATTCTGAGGGTGGATACGCTGGTGAATGTGCAGTGACCTACTACGCAAATATAGTCTAACAAGCTAACTTAACATAACCTAACATACCCCTGCAGTACCTTGCCCTATCATACCCTGACTTAAACCAAACCAATCACAGCAAGGTACACCATATGACATATCTGAATGTGATAGTGGTGTGATCCTGTAATTCCTCCTTCTGCTAAATGTGGTTCAGTTATCACAAATAATTTGGGAAAGAACATTTTATTTAATATATAAATAAGTATACAGTCCTCCCCACCATTACCTGACTATATGACAGTTAGGGTACCACTACCCTAATGAAATCCACTTTGAAACATTTGCAGTACCAACTTAATAAGCCTGTATCTTAACACTTTTGAAAATGTTTGTATACTTTTTCAGACACTGGATGAGTGGTCCTTTGATGTGTTTGCATTGAGCGATGCAGCTTGTAGTCAACCAGTCAAGTACCTTGGGTATGACCTCCTTAACCGATATGGAATGATTCACAAGTTCAAGGTAAGTGCCCTTATCATAAATCTGTTACCTCTCTCCAAGGCAGTTCCATGTCTATTATTTGATGTTACAAAGAATATATTACTGACGTCACTGAAAAGTTTAAATATATGATGTATCTTTATTAATAAAATCCGTGAGTGGGGCTTTCATGTTTCATTATTTAAGGCATACTACACATTGGTGGTATAATGTGACTGTTTAAAGAGCAACTAAATTCCAAGGCAAGGAAAGCCATAAAAATTTTGGCAATTGAATATATATATATACACGAGTATATACCATACAAGAAGAATTACACAAATTGTAGCTATAACTTAATAAAGCAATGAATGATTCAGGGAGGATGTATGAACTAAGAGAAATGGCTAGTGACTAGTGAGAATACCATTTCTATTACGCCTCCTACTTCCGTTTCATGCAACAACTTTTTCAGTGGAATTATCCATCACAGATTCACAGAAATCTGTCTGTACACAAGTAAACGAAATGTGTTTTAACATACCTTAATTGGCAAATGTGACAGCTTGGAATATCATGCAATTCCTCCTACCTTCATGCCTATACTGTATCATGTCTCTTCTGATTACACCTGCACTCACAAACGGCTAGCAGAAGCCTGAAGAAACTGGCTACCAGTGTCTGTGATGGACTGGCTGGAGGTAGAAGATGATTAATTATTTGATCAGTTCTCCTGACAGTGTATGAAGTACCACTGAACCACAAAAGCAATACTGTCTCTTTTATTTTTCAAAACGTTAGCTGGACTAATATGGTTAACCCGTATAACGCTCTATGTTAATGCAGAAAATATGAGTCCTCTTTCTCAATTAATTTAGTCCAGTTATAATAAATACATTCTGTGTGAGTTCTGTGTTGTTCTTTGTTAGGTTCCACCAGTAACTTTGGAGACATTCCTTTCGAGGGTGGAGGAAGGTTACTGCCGGCACAAAAATCCATACCACAACAACCTGCATGCAGCAGATGTTGCCCAAACCGTCCACTACATGTTATGCCAGACTGGCCTCATGGTGAATATACAGAAACAGAAGTGGTTTATGTAAAAGGTGCTAGTATCATATACTACTGTGTGCTGCCAGAGGAAAAGTTTGAATACTAGAATATTGTAATTAAAATAGTCCTTTCAGTTACCTTGCTATGGTACAGCAGTTTCCCGATTTTCTGTTCTATCGCTCATCACTTTCTTTACTTCTTTATATTATTTTGCTCAGTGTAGATAACGCTAAATGAAGGGCAAAACCATGCCCAAGAATTCTCTTTTTTTCATAGTAGTATAAACCTGCTTAATCTTAAGGGAATATCTTATCACAATATGCAGACAGGTTGAAATATACCTTAAATGGAATACGAAATTTAAAACACATTATCAGCAAATAGTACTGAATAATCTCCATAAATATGTATCGCTTTCCTTTCTAAGTTATCGAACAGTAATACATTGTCTGAATGATATTTATGTATTGATTTAATTAACCATAGTGTTAGACAATACATACTAATTCTGACTTGGATGAACGTGTGTGTGTGTGTGTCTCTTTGGACTGTAAGAACTGGCTGACAGACCTGGAGATCTTTGCCACTTTGGTGGCAGCCATTATCCATGACTACGAGCACACTGGCACAACCAACAACTTCCATGTCATGTCTGGCACTGAAACAGCCCTCCTGTACAATGATCGAGCGGTCCTGGAGAACCACCACATCAGTGCCTCCTTCAGGTGACATTATCTTGCTCTCATTTTTAAGATTCTTAAGACCTTTAGTATACCGAAAGTTTAATAACTCTTCTTTTCCAATTTGTAAGCGTGAAGTTGAAAGAATTCTATACCACCTTGATGGTAAGAAAGATGAAATGTTTTTATCTTGACAGATAGTAGCTCATTGCTATTAGCTTATGAAGTATTGTATTTATCAAATATTTATTTGCAAGTTGTAACAGAAGGGAACAGAATCCATGATATAGGGATTTTTTGAAGAGCTGGTCAAAAAAATTCCTACCTGTTTTCAGAGAACACAAAGGCTCATTACAGTGTTCATAGATGCCTGCCATTAGACGATATCTGCGTTAAAGATTAATTTTATTATCGTCCTCTCATGATGCCTTAAGGTGGAAAGTGTTCTCTTTCTTTAGGTTTTTGGACCAAAATTTAGTTAAATACGCACATCTTGTTTTTCTCTCACATATACGTATGTATCCTGCCGATTTCATCCTCCTGGAGTTAATAAAAATTATAAAGTTCCACATTATGTAGATTTCTCCATTCCAGTATTGTGTAAACTGTGGAGGACTGACACTGATGCTTAATATGTTTTACCATTGATGTAACCACTCCTTACATCATAAAATTTAGTTAACATGTAAAATGTTTTTATATGTCTATTTATTTTTGACATCAATAACAGTAGTCCAATTTAGGCCATTTCAGTATAATTGAATGATTCTTAACAGAATAGGTCAGCAGTCCAAGCTGCATGCTCAGACAGATACCTGTGAGATGAGTTATTGTTGTTAATAATCACAGTAATACACTAGTGAGTGCTGCCCTTTACAAAAGTGTACCTACCTATCCTTTTACTGTGCTTGGTATTTCATTGGTTTTACATGCTGAATGATCCCAAACTTACATATGAGCTAAATGAGTTGTGGTTCAGGGGCTCAGAAATGGCAAAATTAATGTATGTTATTACTTTTATTATATTATTTTTAAAGTCACTAGTGCAGTGACATTTCTCGGGTCCAGAGCACAGTTTAAGAGTTTCCCCTATAACAGAAGCAGGATTATAAAGTACATATTCCATTGTCTATAATGTTAACTGCAGAATACTTTTTGCACTGTATTTTACAAAAGCCACAAGCTCAATTAATATAGTGACTAAACTAGGAGCTGGACGAGCAGGAAATTTGAATTCTGTTTCCAACATGGGCAAAGAATTAACTGTTCTCCACAGCATCCATACTAATTCTGAGTCCCATTCGGTCTTCGGGGTTGCCCAGGTTCTTCCTTCACCAGTAAAATATCTGGGACTTGCATCTGACCACTCACCACTATTCAGTGCCAAGAGTTATACCTCCATTGTTCCATATATCTTCATGGTAAGATAGAAGGAAAGTTATCCCTGGGTTTGGGCTTAATTAAGCACCACACTATGAAAACTTATGAGGGAGTGAAAGTATAGTTCCACCATTATTGGCCTTGGCACTAGATAGAGGTGAGTGGTCAGCATCATGCTCTTGCTACTTTATCTCCGGATAATATCCCCCAGAACCAATTGTATAAGGGATTGGATGGACCACAGAGCCTGTCTGGATGTTATGGAGAAGAGAAAAATTTGTTGCCCCTGACAGGAATCAAAAGCTGACTCCTTTGGTATCTAGCCTGTAGCCTACCTGCTACCTGGTATTAAGAACTGATAAGTATTGTTATATGAAGACGTTATTTGCATTTCATGCATTTGGGAAGTAAAATTGCTCAGATGAACACATTTTTCTTCATGATTTGTATCAAATCATCAAGGATAATATTTCATTGGCTTCTCCCAATATGAAAGCAATGTTGCTACCTATTTACAGTGCAATGGTAACAAACTGCTTAGGAGAACAGTAATTTTCATAGTAGAAAAGAATAAATGGTTAACTGTGAATACAAAGTCACTCTCTGTTGCATCAAGAATGTGATTAAACTTCATCCTTTACAAAGCATTTATTGCCCAAGAATACAATATATGATTTTATTCTCCAAACATTTAGAATGGAAGTGTTGTAAATTATATATAGTTATCCTTTAGGGCCTTATTTTACTTGCTGGTGTGTTGTTGCTGAAAAATGAAATAAAGATGAAATTACAAAGCATTAAAGAGTTTTAACTTGTAAGTACCACTGTTATGCAGTATCTCTGTAATCTGTCTCCAGAATCTGGTCCCATACACGCAATATGATCCCACCTCTCCTCTTTTGATAATAAATATTGTGAAGTAACCATATGGGTACAAGTACAGCACAAAAAAGTTCTTTGTGTTCACAGAGTAATGAAAGATGAAGAGTGCAACATTCTTCAGAATCTGTCCAGAGAAGAGTTCCGTGAGTTCCGTACTCTTGTGATTGATATGGTCCTGGCCACAGACATGAGCTTCCATTTCCAGCAGCTCAAGAACATGAAGAATCTACTCACGCTTGCAGAGCCTAGGTTCCACTCACTTGTCTTACTAGTAATTGTATAATGACATTCAGTTTATTCATGAATACATGACAGAACAATACAGCACTTTTGATTATCCACAAAATGTACCCAAATTTTATTTAATTTTACCAGTTTCATTAAAACCGCTGTAATTTTAGTTGTTTTAGAATTCTTGAATTCATTCATTTCTTTGCCATATCAGTTTCATATGATGAAAACAAACATAAGGTATTGAGGACCTTTAAATAGGATTTAATGGGAAACTTAGCAGCTACTAGAAGAATGCATTTCTAGCAAGATAGGTACCCTTTCCAAAACATCAGTGACTTGTATATTGGAGCATTCTGGTTTCATTCTGATTTATTTATTACATAGCAAATATTTGAACATATCTTGAATGAAGAAAGCAGTCTTCTGGGATGTGGCACCGTGTAGATGTGGTGTTAACCGACGTTTCGGAGGAACGTATCGCCTCCATCTTCAGGGTAGAAGGAAAAATAAGAAACCTGCAAGCGAAGAGACCGTGAGAACCGGTACAAGCAGACTGACACCACATCTACATGGTGCCACATCCCAGAAGACTGCTATCTTCATAGTCACCTCCATGAAAACCTCAAATCTTACATATTTTGCATGGTTTGGCAGACCCTGGATATCCATTTAGTACTGAAAGTGAAGGAATCTGATTATTGTAATAATCTTTTTCGAGGTAGAGATCTTGTGATTATGCTTCAAAGTAGTTTTTTAATTTGGCATGTTATGTTACATCCAAACTTCAATTAATTCATGATATTATTTCAAGTATGAATGTTGGAAAATTTTCTTTTCACAATTCTCTCCAGAATGGTTCCAATGGCCATGAGTAATCTATCTAAAGGCTACTGGAGGTGTTTTCCATAAAAATAAATGCTGCCTGAACATGAAACTGATCATCTATCACCAATCTCTAGCAGTATATACTTTTATTACATGCTGCCCTGTATTAATGAGGCATACAGTAGTGTGGTTCGTTGAGGCACTATGCTACAAGTTGGAAGATCGCGGGTTCGTTTCCTGACGAGGCCACTGGGTTTTTGTAATTTACCTTATCCTTCCAGCTGCACCATGGGCCTGGGGTCAACTCAGTCTCTAACAGAAACGGGTACCAGGAATCTTCCTGGGAGTAAAGGGCAGTCAGCATGTGAGGCTGTCACCCTCAGCACCGTCTAGAAAATGTGGGAGTCTCGACTTCTCACAACCCCATGGGCCTCCATGGCCTGTTACAGGGATAGCTTTACCTTTATTTACCTGTATTAATACATTGATGCTGGTAACCACTATACTACAATGTTTGTAAATGCATCCTTCTGTCCAGAACCATAATATTATATTTCGACACAGTTGGCTTTTCAGACCTTTTCTGTACTGATACATGCAAACAAAAGTTATACCTTGTTCTAGAGACCATGTTGGTGCTTTTCTTCTTCATTTCGACCAAAAGAGGAAGTTTAAATACCAGAAATTTAATTCAAAAGTTGTGTAGGTAAGAGCCTTTGCAGAATGGTTGGAGTACAGGAAATGTGCAGGCTCTATATGTGCAAAGTTGGTGAGTGGATTAACATCTTTTTGGTCGTCTGTAATCAAAACGATTGGGCCTTTAGGGGCTGTTCTTTTGACACTCCTTTCACATTTCCCAACATTTCTTCCCTTAGATGTCTTTCTTGTATTGCTGCCTTAAGCAGTCTGTTATCCTCAATCCTTTCCTGACTTTCATTCCTTTTTCTGCTTCTCAATATCCTCCACTCTGTAGCTTCTCCAATCTCCACTCTAATTGTATGGTCTCATAACATAATCCAGCAACTGATGAAGAATTTTATCCTGTCCTTACTTTCCAGAATCCATATTGCAGATTGAAACATCAAGGCAGGTTTTGATGTTATTTAATGACATCATAAGTAAGCACTTTTATGTATTTATAATGACTGTTAATGTAATAATTACAAGCTCTGTAACCCTGAACTGTGTCTATATCATTATTAGCACTTGTAGGTGAGTTACGATCCTTTATGTCCTAAGATGTGAAAATATCTCTTGTACAAACATTAATGTTAATCATGTGGAATTAATAAGAACATTATCTGTTTATGCAGTGTTGACAAATCCAAGGCATTGTCACTGGTGCTCCACTGTTGTGATATTTCACATCCTGCTAAACGATGGGATTTACATCATCGTTGGACTATGTTGCTACTGGAAGAGTTTTTTCGGCAAGGCGACAAGGAGCGAGAGTTGGGATTACCCTTCAGTCCTCTGTGTGATCGAAACAACACATTAGTGGCTGAGTCACAGATAGGTGTGATTTTCAGCAACAGTTTTTCTCTGCTAACTTAAACAGTGTTGACCCTGATATGAACTGACAATTAGCATTACTGTGCAAAGTTCCATGTAAATATCTGATTCAAATTCATCCTCAGCTTTGGTTGTATTGACAAAGTTGTCCAATTGGCTGTGCCATAGCTCAAGCTGTTAGTTGCTGGCTTCCCACCGTGGTGGCGCGGGTTCGATCCCAGGTCTGGTCAAGTGGGATTTGTGGTGGACAAAGTGGTGCTGGGGCAGGTTTTCTCCAAGTACTTCGGTTTCCCCTGCCAATCTTCATTCCACCAATTGCTCCACAGTCACCCTCACCTATCATCTGGGGCTGGTACAATAGGCCAGAAGTGGCTGCAGTACAAGGATACTTAGTCCCACCCCACTAGCAATAAAAAAAAAGTTGTCCAATCATCTTTTATTCATTCACTCATAATGAACATGTAGAACTGATACAGCTTCATTATATATTGTCATGGGTATTTTAAGGATTGTGAATATTAGATGGGGTTTGGATTGCATGATTTAATTTATTGCACTTATACACTCAACTCATAACTACAACTAATACAGCGCTATCACTGATCTACACACTTTACAGTTCACCGTTACACACACACACACACATACACATACAGGGTTCTCAGCCTTCATGAGTCTTAGCAGTGGATTTCAAGACAGTAATTATACCAGCCTCACTACAACTGCAGCACCCATTAAGTCTTCTTTTCATAGCTGCACCCTTGCAGCTCAACTCAGCCATTGCCATCACTTCTCATTCATCTTCAACTGCTGTCTCAAGAGACTACCTCAATTATTATTCAGCTGGTCTGGGATCCCCGCTATATGACCTCAGGGCAGATCCAACAGAAAACAATGTGCCCATCATTATAGCTCAACAATACCTTGATTGTTGCTGCTTATTCATTGCTACAGGAACATGTTTATTGATTTGATGCCTAGCAATGAACATCTACTCTGGCTCCACTATTCTGGCTTTCAGGTGTTATGTCACAATATATTACAAATTAAAATCTATGTACATTATAAATTAGTTTTCTCTTATGTTGCATCATACTAGTAGATTGCATCAGTAGTCAGGTATGTGCGCAAATATGAGGAATTCTTCTAACTGGCTGAATTTGCAGGCTACAGCACTGCGTTTCTTCATAGCTGTGTTTGAACACTGAATACCACAAAAATTTCACTTTCAAGTGCACTGTGACAAGATTGCAAGAGTGGAATGGTGTGCTCAAGTTTAGGTGCAGAAAATTTCCCTCCTTTTTCTCCCTCTTCCCCCTGAGTCATCAGTATTGATGTTTGTTTATGACAGACACAAATTTAGTGTTTACAGACCTAAGCAGCAGCAGTGTCACTTCATTTCACCATTCTAAGCTGTACTATTCCAGAGACAGTTATTAAATCGTATAGAAGCATAAACGTGTCAAATTATACTAATAAATACCAAAATAAAATTCTAAACCTCACAGCTTTTATTGTAGACTCCAATCCACATTCCACATGTCACCAAAATGAGTAAAGTGATCTGGGGATGAAACATGTGAACATACAGTCAGACTGATGGAGGAAGAGATTCATCTTCTCCAGTATCTACTCACTAAGTGGTTGTACTCTGATCTGTAATTTAAAATATCCAAAGGTACTTAAATTAAAACGGAGCAGAACTTCTTCAAGGAATGCATCCTGTTGTGTGTTTATCACTATATACGGGTATATATACGTTTTTTGGTACACCTGTCAAACACAACAACAAATAAAACTAACATACCCAGCAGGCCCAGCAGTATAACACATGCAGTCACAGGAACAAGACACAACCAAAGCACAATACACACACAAAAGTAGGAATAGTGCTCCGATAGAAGAGGACAGGTGTGACTCGCGTACTGAGATGCGACGTAGGGATAAAAAATCCTGAACAGTTTTAATATTTTTAATATTTAATATTTATCAATATATATGATGAACATATATTTTAGTTATTTTAGTATGAAGACGGCAAGGCATGCAGTGAGATAGTTTAGCGTAAATCAAAAAGCACCTGAAGATGGCACCTTTGTGCCGAAACATGTAGTGCGAGAGTGAAGAGTGAAGTAGATGAGTGTATGCACTGTAAGACGGCTGGAATAAATCATGGACATAAAACTAATTCACTTTCTTTCTTAAGTGTCAACCGAGTTTTTATTGGATTACAGTATAACGTTGCCACATGTTGTAAATTGTATCACCTGATGATGGCTCCATGATAGCTGAAACATGTTGCAACGTTATATTTTAATCCAATAAGAAACTCACTTTTATTGATTGTTGCCTTTGATGGGTATACCACAAAACATAAATATGTGGAGCAGAATTTTGTCATTTTAAAAGCAGTGATAAAGAGCTCTCCTCTTTATGGTCTAATGTTAAAACATCTTGCATCATTAGCATCATTACAGAGAAGTGCTGGATTAATTTATGTTTTTAGGTTTTATTGAATTCATTGTGGAACCTAGCATGGCAGTGTGCAGCGATATGTTGGAATCTATTCTTGGACCAATTCACTCTACCTGTAAGCCAAGTGATGGTGCTCAACAATCGATATCTGAGGATGCAGAAATAGACAGAGCAAAGAATGGTAAGTTTGTAGTATTATGTAGTCACATTGGCAGGAATGAATTGGCATATGTTCAAAAGTTCATGTGCTTAGAGGCTCCCATTTCATGGGATGGTTTTCCCTTCTGTGAATTTATGAACTGGTTTAAGGACAGTATTTCTGTAATTTACAGTTATCATTGACCATCGTTAATGCTTATTTATGTGTTTTGATTTAATCTTTCAAAGATAGGGTTAATGGTTTTGTGTGACACATGGTTATCATTAGTTTTCTAGCTAGCTTAAAATGGTTCATAATGAAATATCCTTTTCTTCATGAAGCAGGGTAGTGAAATGAGGTAAGTATGGACCTGGTTACCCATTGCACCCCTTGTTTGTTTTCACATTATAAGTAACAGAGCAATTTAGAAAAATAAAGAACTCAGTGCTAAATCTGACTGAAGATGATTTAAAGGCTGGAGTGAAAAGACATCAAGGAAGCCTATAGTCAATAAGTAAGTTACAAATGGATATAGAACTTAAACAAATAAGAGTACTGATTTGAAAAATGCTTTTATTTCTCAGCATAATCTCACTGTACATTGAGGCATTTGTCCCATTGTTTCACAATCCCATGAAACTCAGCAGCAAAAATTGTGCATTTTAAGTAAAATGTAAGTGCCCTAACAGGATGGGACATTTAAATGCAGAGCGACAAGAGGCATTTAAACGCAGACCAGCAGTGGGCATTTAAATAAACTCCAGCCAGCTCAAGTTACCGCTATTTCAATAGTCCGGTGTTGAAAGGTTAAGCAGAGGTACAACTTTACCTTTCTGAACAAGCATCATTGTGTTGTCAATATTACTAAAATTTGATTTTCCTTGTCACTGACTCCATCATTTGGGCATCAAAGAGCTAGTTCTTTGTGTAAGAGTCCCAACATCACAACTGACTCACTATCTATGGACTCAGTTATTTGCATCAAGACTGGAACCAATATCTGTGACAAGCTCTTCAATAAGTTTGTTAAATATGATGGAAACCTATTATACCATATCATCTTATAACTGCCTGGCTTGGCTTGTTTAACTTAAATACTTTGATTTTACACACCATTTCAATAAGAAATACAGGAACTGCTAAGATTTTATGGTGTTTATAAGATGTCAGCCCATAAGACAAGGGTTTCTGTTGCTGACAATAATTTGAAAAACTCTGGACTCCTGACAGCATCAACTTTCTGAGGTCACAATAATGTAAAATCGGTCCTCAGTATGTTAATTTTAAATTTTGTATTTAACAGGATCTACATCAAGTCCTAAACGTAGTTTGAAGTTCAAAATAAAAAAACCGTGGACTGCTTGTCTGGGTGAGAACAAGAAAAGCTGGAAAGAGCAAGCAGCTCGAGGTAGGTTAGCATGCTTAAAAATGCTTTACTGTATTAAGTTAAAATTCCATTTCCTACGTAATGGGGCCTCATCAAGCTGGAATTCAGGGATATATGTTGAGAATTCCTCTGTTAACCACCAGATCCAGAATGATGTTCAAATAGCATCATATCAGATAGGTATGGGCCTGTCCTGAAAGGAAAGCAGATAGAATTTGAATCTGATCACTCTACCAAAGATCAAGAAAGCACAGAGCTTTACATTCATACTAACTATACACATTCATACAAAGTGCCCAGGCACATGAACAATAACATATTGTAGAAAACATATATGCCAAGACTTTAATCAATACAAACAGTAATAACTTCAGAACTGTATTAAATAATTTCATACTGTTTCTAGCAGGGGCACGCAGTAGTGTGCTTGGTTGAGACACTATGCCACTAGCTGGAAGGTCAGGTTTGATTCCCAGTAAGGTAACTGGATTTTTTCCATTTACTTAATCCTAAATGTTGATATCTCCATTGCAGTTTTGACATTCCTATTACAACATGAAAACCCTGAAAATTTAGACACTAGATTCAAAGGGATTTCATCACTTCACTATAAATTCCAAGTTTTTCACTCTATTTCATCTCAAAATACTCCCTGTGGTTTTCCATGGCATGAAGAATCTTAAAACAGATCACACTTCCAGTAGTACACAGTAGTGAGTATTTTGACTGCCTATACAGTGCAATGCTTCGCTCTGTCCACTCACACCTTAAATGTATGCTAGGCCCTACTGCTTTTCTTTTGATTTTGTTACAGGAATCCTATGAGCAACAGAAAGATCCTCTACCTAATAGTCTGTCTGAAGAATTTTCTGGTTATTTTTCTACAGTTTATTTTACTGTATCAGTCAGTGGTCTTTGCCCACGTTTTTCATAAATTGATTTAGCTTGAGGTTCTGTTTGGATGTCTTACAGTGAAAAATGTGGAAATTTTTTATGATAAGACCAAGGAATGAAAAAGCAATTCCTTTTACCACTTGACCGATTTTCATTTAAATGAATGGTATGGTGTCCAGGCAGATTTATCAAAACCAGTTTCATCCATGTTGGAGTCAGTCACTGCACATGGCTTTTGCTCTCCATGAGAACCTCTTGAGCTTGGTGCTCCAGTTACAGTGTCATTATGTGATGCTTAGCACATAAACATCATTTATTTCCTGCCAGTTTATGCCAAGGAGTTGATCTATTCTGGCAGAATGTTTTTCTTCCTTATTTTCTTTGAAAAATTGGGCGTTCATTTCCTCTTTGGCACAATAACCCACGGTTTGGTTTTGTATATCCACAAATTGTTAAAAACTCTGGAACCGCTGAACAATCTGCCCATGTACATTATGTATCCTTCATTCTTTACTGGCTCGCGCAGTTTGTTGACAGCACTGAATGAGGTGTTATGTTCTAGGTGTATAGAGTATGCACCTTAATATGCTTCAAAGTTACGCACTTCTTGTCTCACATAATTTAGATATTTTTTTGCTGTACTTCTGGGACTTCCCTTTCCTAAACACTCAAAAGCATGAGCAATCCTAGAATACACATGTGGCTCAATCAGTTGTAAATGATTCTTCTGGTGTGTATACTTCTTCAGATGTTAAGTTCAGATAACCCAGGATCAGCCTCATTTTATGTACTGGGCCATGTCATAGTTGATGTCATTGTACATGGGTGTCATTGTTATTCAAGTGCAACATTGTAAGGATAGACATAAATCGATTGTGAGACATTCCAATTGGTTTTGGTGAAGTCATTCTTATAATTGGCTCTTTATGTAAGTAGTCTTAGATGGATGATTTATGGACCAGACACATGTGAATAATAATAGCAAGAAACAATTTTGTTTCGTGTAAACTGGCTTCCTTCCACAAATTTTCAGCAAATTTTGACTCTAGAATACCTTCTTGTCTTTTTTTAGCCTACCTTAATTATTTTGAAAAAATGGAAGTATGCTTGTGAGATCGCAATGCTGTCTGTGTGTTTGCGAATCCATTGCCCCACTCTCATCAACTTTTGAATGCTTGAACCAATCTTTATGAAACTTGGTGTGTATATCATAGCACCTGAGCCCATCAGTGGTCTGCTTCATAACTCCTTCCCATCAGTCCATGTGTCTGTTTGTGTATCCCTCCATTCATTGCTTGGTAACGGCATTCGTGTGGCAACAATCACATGCAACAATAGAAGAATTATTGGATGTGTCATTTTCTATGCTGTCTGTATCTTATAAAAGGAGAGTCTGTGGGTTTGACTGTGTATCCCCCAGTCATCACCAGATAAGAGCTCAGTAAAGACGTTCCCACAGCAGCTACAAATCATTGGAGGCGGCGTTTTCCATTAGATCCATATCATATCAAAATATAGCAGGTGATTAGTTCTTCCCAGAACTTCTTGTTATTAATTTGTTATTCTGCAGGTGTTAGTTTCTCTTTGAATTAGTTCAGATATTTGATTGTTGAAAAAGAGATTAAATATATGTTTTTTGGAGAACTATCTATAGAAAGATGTATATCCCAGTTTACTCACAGAAGTCCAAAAATGCAGGTCTGTTTACTGCAACAATGTTCTCTTTCCATTCACTCTTTCTGTTGGGAATTTTTTTTCTAACTCCACATGCCCGCTTTCTCCCTCTTTGAACTTTCAGTTGATTAGGAACTATTTTGTCTTTTTCACTGCTGTTGGTGGTGGATGAAAGATCACACTCTTCAATAATTTTATCAGCAGCAAAATCTGAATCAAAATCATTTACTAATTCAGGTATTGTGCTCTCGTCAGTTTTCCTAGCACACTTTCTTAAGCGATAAATTTTACTTGCACTTGGACTTGTTAAATCCATTTCCTGTGGGCTGCACTGTGAGAAATGAACTATCCAGAATGAAACAATCACTTCTGCAGTATAAATGTACTTTTAGTCTGCAATGTGTTACAGTTCATCACCCATACACTTTGACCTTCCATAACATACGAAACAGAACCCCATGTTTTGAAGGAGAAGAAGAAGAAGAAGAAGAAGAAAAATAAATATTACAACTCTGATCCTACATAAGTAACCTTGAGTTTGCCTGCCATAACAGTGCTCTATAAATAGAGACTTCTGCAGATGATACATAAAATGAGAATCTTTGATGTGTCAGACAGTGAACAGTCCATGTTGACATTGTGGTTAGTTATTTTTTTACTATGATCTTTTCAAGTTGAGCTAGTACTCATAGTACCTTCAGCAGCTTGGTAAAACAAGGTGGATGGTACTGATACAACAGCAGGGATCATAGTATTAATGATGCTGTCAGTAACTCAGACTGTGTTGCATTAAATGACTGGTTGATAACAAATAATAAATTGTAAAGAATGTTGAAGAAAATGGTCATGGCCTAATACAAGGTGCTATTGCAGCATTTACCTTGAAGGTTAGAGGAAGAACTATGAAATCCTCAGTCAGGATAGTTGATGTCCTGGCCAAGACTGGGTGCCTCCTAAATGCAGATCAGAAGTGTTATCACTTCAACCACATTTTGAAGTGATTACTTGTTGTTCCATTATACTGTCTGATGTGCAGAACCCAGCACATTGATAATCCAGCTTCATGCCTGATGTATTCATTATAGATGTTAACAGTGAAATTGTATGCCCATATCAGAAATTATTTACTTTTAAAGAACTTACTTTTCTTTTGTACCAATATTTTGACACTCTGTCACCTGTAATGAAAGACTTTGCTCATTTATGATATGGACATTGGTCTTAACTACAACAAGGTTCTCCAACTAATAAATAACAACATCATCATATGATGTTGTTAAAAGTAAGGGCAGCTGGCCGAACGTCATCATATGATGTCGCGGATTCCACGCGTGTAAGGTTTTTTTAAAATTAAATTTGAAATATAAATTGTTGTTCTATTTACATATTTTTTTGTCACAACCTTTATAAGGTGACAGCCTTCCTTCCTGCATGATCTAATGTAATCTAGCGACGTCATATGACGTTAAAAGTAAGGACAAATTGAAGAACGACATCATATGATGTCGCGCATTCCACGCGTGTAAAGATTTTTTTAAAATTAAATTTGAAATATAAATTGTTGTTCTATTTACATATTTTTTTGTCACAACCTTTATAAGGTGACAGCCTTCCCTCCTGTGTGATCTAAT